TCTTCTGGCTCTCTATCTGGCCAAGGAACTCATCATGCCCATGTATTATCTGTTTCAACTCAATATGGAAAGTTCTGGTTATTTGAAAAGCAGATATCACAGTCCACACTTAATGGAAGGAATGGCTTAACAGCATGCACTTTCATCAATATCATTCTTTCAAAGTGTTATATAGCAAACAGAATGGTTTTACCAATCCCTGACCAAACAATGTCAATATTGTGGCAAATGGTAATCACATCCTGTATCGGAAAGGGCAACAACATACATGATCAAGTTACTGGTGGGCGCCCAATTCACTTTTCTGTATCTGAGGCAGTGATATACATCAGTCTAATCATTCATTTCAAGGAATTACTGTTGATGATTCTTTTGATGTGGATTTTATTAATACAAATCCAGCTGTCCCACAGTCTTCACTGGCATTCTTTTTGCAAAGACTTGTCAAGAACCCAATATAGCAGCCATCATTATCATCAATGGCTAAATGTCTGTGTGTTTAATTGGCCAGGCAAATAACATTCTTCTCATGGATAGTCATCTTCATGGCAACTAATTTATGGAGCATTGGTTGGTAAGACCACCCTGCAAAGATTTAGATGGATTTTTGATAAATGCAAAACAATTTATAAGCAATATATAAACAATATATTACATGTGTACATAAACGTTTTTTTAAGAAATAATTATATCCATACAAAATCCATCAACATTGATATTACATAATAATAATAATAATAATAATAATAATAATAATAACAACTTTATTAATGTGTCTTTCTTTCTAGCTTACAATTAAGAAACTCATTGGAGACACCTATCTAACCCTAATAAAAACCCTTAAAATCCATAGTTAATTGTTAGTTATTTCCTATTTACATTCCCACCCCAACACCATCTATTCCACCCCCCTCCCCCCCACTCTACCCTCTCCCTTCCAATATCCCTAGTGCAACTGGTATGTTATACATGAATTATATGTGTAGATAATAAAATAATAGCTGTGTACCACAGGTTTGCACCCYGGCCAAGTCAGACGCCCCACGTCTATCCAGACACTGAAACTACTATCAGGACATTTGAGTTCGCTGGTATGGAAAACTGCAGCACACTGCATTACCCATAAAAATTAAATTATTCAATAGAACAAGTAGAGACATGAATTAATGTAGACACAAAAAGCAGTCTTTACACTCCTGAGCAGAGATAGTCA